CATCGGTTATCCCCCACGCAAGGAGGGCGATGGACAAAACAAGCGCAAATCAGATCGTGGGTCACGTTCGTCACCACAAGCTGCTGCGGTTGAGACTGAATTCGACACGAGCCCTATTCCTGGTCTCACGATGGCGCAGCTGCGCCAGCTCCAGTCCTTCCTCAAGTCGGATTTGCGAGCTGCACCGCCTAGCTCCGCCGATCCTGTCTCTAACATGGCAGGTACGTGCTCTATACATAATACTTCATGGGTTATAGATTCCGGTTGTAATGAGCACATAGTGAATGATAAATCTTTGTTGCTGAATGAGCTGGAGTCACCTCCGGCTTTACAGGTTCGAATTCCTAATGGGACAGGGGTCCCTGTTCATCGTATTGGTTCCGTCCAATTATCAAATGACTTATCTCTTCAGCGAGTGTTGCACGTACCGGATTTTCAGTGCAATTTACTCTCTGTCAGTAGGCTTACGGCTGATCTTCCTGTAGCCTTGATATTTCTTCGTGACTTCTGCCTTGTTCAGGACTTACCCTCCAGGAAGCTGATTGGGATGGGTAAGCACGTAGATGGGCTATATTATCTCAGACTGTTTGATGGGCAGCATCCTGTGGCACATTCCGCACGTCAGGCAGTTGATAAAACGGCTCTTTGGCATGCACGTTTGGGGCATCCGTCCATGGCGAAGTTGTCTATTTTACAGAAGTACATTTCGGCACCTCTTTTGCAGCGGAACTCACCCTGCCATTCTTGTATTCGAGCGAAACAAGCTCGTGATCCCTTCATGTCTAGCTCGATCACGACTTCATCTTGTTTTGAACTCATACATTTGGATATTTGGGGAGGATATCATGTTCCATCTTTCTCTGGTGGGAAATATTTTTTGACAATTGTAGATGATTACAGCAGAGCAGTTTGGGTCTATTTGCTACGTTTTAAATCTGATGTCGCACGCACGTTGTTGTCATTTTTCCATATGATTCAGCGACAGTTTGGTAAGGTGGTGCGGCGTATACAGGCTGATAACGGTCCAGAGTTCGCCACGAATGAGCTCCGGACTTATTATGAGCAGTCTGGCATCATCCTGCAGACGTCATGTACTGATACTCCGCAGCAAAATGGCGTCGTGGAAAGAAAACATCGCCATCTCTTAGAAACTGCAAGAGCATTACGATTTTAGGCGAATTTGCCTCTCGAGTTCTGGGGAGAGTGCATTCTTACTGCCGCCTACTTAATTAATCGTATGCCACTGGTGACCACAGGAAATCGTTCACCATTCCAGATTATGTTCGGCAAGGACCCTAGCTATCATCACTTACGGAGCTTTGGATGTCTCGTCTATGCTCGAGACAATCGTCATGGCTTGGACAAGTTCTCCGATCGAGGCCGTGCTTGTGTTTTTGTCGGCTATCCGAGTACACAGCGGGGCTACAGAGTTTTTGATCTTGAAGAGCGACGAATTTATACGTCCCGTGACGTTAAATTTTTAGAAGATGTCTATCCCTATCACTTGAGCACCGATCCGTCGTCATCGTCCATGCAGGCCATGCACTCTCGGCCTCCTCCTGTGATGGCCGAACCTGTTTGGGACGAGGATCCTGCTGTACCTTCCTCTACGTCCTTGCCCGCAGATGAGCACGTCGACCCTGGAGCCATTTCCCCGCCCAGCGTTGCTCCTTCTTCACCTGGTGGAAATATCACTTCACCACCGCCCAGCCCCATTTCTCCTTCTACTAGCGAGGATGCCTCGTCCCATTCTCCTTCACCAGGACTTGGACATGAGCATTCCCCTTCGCCCACGACCACTATGCCCAGCCCCGAAGCTTCCTCAAGTTCTCCGGAGCCACCTTCAGCTCCCGCTGCCCCTGCCCCGCGGCGTGGTGATCGCCAGCGCCAACCTTCAGTTCGACTATGTGGTTTTGATGTTGATCTCCCTAGATTTGCTGGCTCCACCACCACCACCTATCCAATTGAAGACTACCTCACTTATGATCGCCTTTCACAGGCTCATCATGCGTTCGTCACAGCTGTCACCAGTCACGATGAACCTCGTTTTTTCCACCAGGCGGTTCGTCACAAACATTGGCGGCAGGCCATGATTGTCGAATATCGTGCCCTTGAGGCCAATGGCACGTGGATTTTATGTCATCTTCCTCCTGGGAAGAAAGCCATCGCGTGCAAGTGGGTTTACAAAATCAAGTTCAATGCAGATGGCACCATTGAGCGGTAAAAAGCCCGTCTTGTTGCTAAAGGCTTTACCCAGATCGAAGGTATTGATTATCATGATACTTTTGCCCCCGTCGCCAAGCTGGTCACTGTTCGTTGTTTACTTACTGTTGCGGTCAGCAAAGGATGGTATGTTCATCAGCTTGACGTAAACAACGCTTTTCTTCATGGGGATCTTGAAGAAGAAGTCTACATGGCCATCCCTCAAGGTTTCTCGACTCCCGGTGACACTCGTGTTTGTCGACTTCGTAAATCGATCTATGGTTTACGTCAGGCATCCCGCAATTGGTACCAGAAATTTACCCATGCCTTGTTGGAGCTTCATTTCGTCCAGAGCCGAGCTGATCATGCTCTCTTCACTTATAGGCGTGGTACCAGTTTTGTTGCAGCTCTCATCTATGTTGATGACGTTATCTTGACAGGTAAAGACATGGTTTTCATTCAGCAGGTCAAAGATTTTCTCCATGCTCGCTTCACCATCAAGGATCTTGGCAACCTGAAATATTTTCTGGGTATTGAGGTGGCTCGTTCTCCCCGTGGGATGGTTTTGAACCAACGCAAATATGTGTTGGATATATTGGCTGAATCCGGACTCACCGCTTCTCGCCCGAGTCCGACTCCCATTGAGCAAAATCATCGACTTGGCCGCAATTCATCTCCTCCTGCCGCCGACCCTGCTTCTTTTCGTCGGCTGGTCGGTCGACTGCTCTACCTTAACCGTTACGCGTCCTGACATTACCTATGCTGTCAACATACTCAGTCAGGCAGTACATTCTCCTACGCAGGCACACGTTGATACGGCTAATCGTGTGTTGCGCTACCTTAAGACGTGCCCAAGACGAGGTTTGTTCCTTCCTGCCTCGGCTGACCTCTCTCTCACTGCATATTGTGACGCTGACTGGGCGGGCTGCCCACTCACTCGCCGTTCTACCACCGGCTATTTCATTAAGCTCGGGGCATCACCTGTCTCCTGGCGCACCAAGAAACAATCGGTGGTGGCACGATCCTCGGCCGAAGCAGAATACCGGGCTATGGCTAGCACCATTAGTGAAGTCTTGTGGCTTCGCTGGCTTTTGCATGACCTTGGCGTTCCTCTTTCCACGCCGACTCCTCTTTATTGTGACAATCAGGCTGCTCTCCATATCTCGGCAAACCCGGTGTTCCATGAGCGCACCAAGCATGTTGAGATGGATTGCTACTTCGTCCGGGAACGAGTTCAGTCAGGTGACATTACTCCGCTCAAGATTGCTACTCAAGAACAACCGGCTGACATTTTTACTAAGGGACTCAGTGTCGATCAGTTTTCCCATCTTCTTGTCAAGCTTGGTCTTCTTGATATTCATTCCTTCGTTTGAGGGGGAGTGTTGTGATTTCTAGACTTATTATTAAGTTTAGGGTCCAGTTTGTAATTTGCCATCAAACCCGTGTTTCATGTTGTTAGGGTTGATGGTCTCGTGTACTTAAGGGGAAGAGGCTTATGTGCTTTTCCTCAACGATAGAAAACCTAAAAGGGTGAATAATAGCTCAGCCGAGAACTCACGTTCTCCGTGGACTAGTCTCGTTCTCACCGAACGAGGAAACCACGTAAATCTCGTGTTCCTTCTTCCGCACTCTCGATTTTAACATAGTTCTCTATCTATCACTATCACAAGTAATAACCTATTACCAAGAGCGATACATCAACAAGGCCAAAAGAACAAGGAACCAGAGGATGAACCCACTAAAGAAGTGATGATGTAGGTCTTGAGTAGTGGAGGTCTTACTATCTCTTTAGTAATTAAGGGGAAGATGAAAAAAAAACATATTTATATACTAATTGATACAGGAAGCACTCACACATTCCTGCACGAAAAGAAAGCTAAGGAATTTAAATGTTTACTGATTCCAACATCTCCACTGAGAGTAAAGTTGTTGATGGAACTATGTTGTTAAGCAATTTGATGTGCATGCAATTCAGTTGGGAATTGCAAGAGAATGTGTTCACTCATGAAGTCAGAATTCTGAAGTTGGGATCACATGACATGGTACTGGGATTCTACAAGTAAAAATTTATAATTATCAACCATCAATCTTAAGAGAAATAATAAAAAAGAGTAAGAATTCGTTAAGATGTTATATATGTATTACGAATGTCGATATTTTAAAAAAATAATTATACTTTACTATGAGTTCGAGTTTCGAAAAATATACATATACCACCATAGTTGCCGATTTGTCCTAAAGTGGATTGCTGCCTACTTTGATACGTGTCAGGTTTGGATATCTTCCTTTTCTTGACGGGAGTCCGCCAGGCTTCTCCTTTTTTGGGGAGAATGACCAAGGCTTCTTAATTCTGAAATTGCCTACCTCTTATTCCTTTAAATCACCACTTAAATACATAACGTTGCAAATAAGAGAATCTTATCTAATGGACGAACTCCCACGTCTAGCTAACCATCACATGTTAACCTGTCGCCACTTTTCCTGTAACAACTCCTAAAGACTAACAAAAACATTATCAGTCTAAAATACTCAAATGACCTCAAATTAATCAAGGTAGCACTTGTTGGGCTGTGGACGACGAGTGATAAGAATGATATCTCATCATACTTCTACCTCAGATGGCATACTTATTTTTAGCGAATTTGTCCGTATGCTGACTAGATATAGAAATTGTTCCTATAATCCTCCTTTAAATTTAACCATTTTCTTCCAACTTCACATCCACTTGCAAAAAGTAGCTTATTATTAACCATTTTCTACCAAAAGTTAACCATTTTCTTAATCGGTTGACTAAGAATCTCTCATGATCACCCGAACTTTCAAGACTTCTGATAAAAAAAAAATCTAGAGAACTTAAACAAAAGTGTTTTAACATAGGGAAAACTCTTGTCAACCCTCCTAGTTAAATAAACAAAAGTGTTTATAACATAGGGAAACAAATCAACCCAAGTTTCCCTTGATTGAAATCAGCTGGACGTCTCCTTCTTCCGCTTCTGTGCCTTGGGCGAAGAAGCTGCTGCAGGGTTGACGATCTCCTCTGCCTTCCTCGCCAGGTTGCTGAAAGACTTGGCTGCCCATTCCTGGTTGTCGAAGAGAACATGCTTGTCCAGCGAGGAGCCAGCTCTGAACACATAGTCCACCAGGTAATCAGCTGTGACGCAGGGTATCTCGAGCCTTGCAAACTCTTGTACCCAGACGTCTTCAAATGGGGTTTCACGGGAGATGATGGCATAGTCGACCCTCTGCGAGTTGAGGATATGGGTGTAAGGTGGGGCGGTTGCCAGTATCTCCCCGTCGCCTGCCTCCACTGCTCGCCTCAGTGTGTCCTGTTTAGTTCAACAGGAGGGAGGATATTTAACAAATACTATGCTGAAAGAGTAAACGCGTGAAAGGAATGGGTGATAAAATCAAACGGCGTACTGAGTGAGAAATGACTGCCTGCAAAGAGATAGATGTTTTAAACTTACCAAAGGAGGGTCGATGCATACTCCATAAATGACAATCCTCATACCATGAAATGCACCGTGCCCTGTCTTCTCTCTTAGCAGTCGCCATTTCCTGGGGGATTCTAAATTTATAGAGCCGTCTTTATTAACCCCTTTCTTGTGCCATTCATAAGGCTCCTCGGGAAGAAACCTTCCTTCCTTACAGCATGCCAACAGATAGTCTGTACTGAGAATCCACCTGCAAGTAACATCACTCTTTTGTCGGACTGGACCGCTAACTCAAATTAAAGTTGAACTACAAATTCAAGGAATATATTCTTGAAATAACTGGCGCTGAATAATCATCCAAGTTAGTTAGGTGAAAGAGAAATCTCGCACCTCCCAGAGGCAGCAGCAGCGAAGACCTTTTCTGTTCTGCGGAGAGGATCGGCAACAACTAAATGAGTTACCTGGTTTGACCACTGGTGAGAGTTCAGGAAAGATTGCCCCTTCATATCTTTTATAGCATTCCTAAGCTCCTTCCTCTGCGGCCTATTCTGCCCACTCGACATGAAGCACATTGGTTGTCTCTCAACATGGCTGGAGATTTCTCCACCTGCAGAAGCAGGTTTGCCTTCTGAAGCTAACTGATCACCACCATTGGCTGTCGTCATACACATTTCGACATGCTTTCCAGCCTTGCTTCCAGTACTATGTGATTCAACGACAGCTTTGTTCTCCTTGACCGCTTCCATAGCGCGGTGTGTCCTTTTCCTAGATATCTTCTTGACACTTGGAAGACAACTTGCAGGTGGCTCTCTCTCGAGTATGCCTTCTGCAGCATGCTGCTCTTCTTTCCCCGTCACTTTGCTAGAGTTGAAGGAATTATCATTAACACTGTCAACTGCCTTTCTCTTGCTCTTACTTGAAGGTAGCCATTGAGTTTCACTGGTCTTTGTATCGCCATCTTGTTCTGAGATTGATTTATCTCTCTCTTGTGGATCCTCCACCGCATGATCCACTTCAGAGTCAATGGAATTTTTCTCCATTTGTTGAACTTCTTGGAATTCCTTTTCTATAGCTGCCAAACCGACCGTATCCATCATCTCTTTCACAAGTACATCACTTTGATCAAATGCTTCATCAGGATGCCCGTTCTCATCATCAGTAAACCCAGACTTACCCTTGAGATCGATCCTTTGATCAACTATAAGTTCTCTTTCCCCATCTACTGGAGCAACGCTCGACTTCATATTAGAATCTGAAGGTTTTTCAACACTCATATAGACAGCGTCTATCTTATCAGCCGCCTCTGCAGAACCTGGAGTTCTACCAGAGGGATCTATTAAATGAGATGTTGTATCCACCTTTCTCTTAGTGACCGGAGTGGTTAATGTCTCATTGTGGACATTCAAGAAACCATCAGGCCCTACCGGCACTGCAGGTACTTCAGAAATTGACTCCGACAAGTTGCTGGTCTTTGGAGATGCATTTCTCCTAATCTGCGGGCTTTGGTTTACAATGCAGCTGGTACGCAGCTTGAGAGAGGTACCATCAGACACATCATCTTCTGAATCCCTGACTTCAGCTTCCATCAATTCCATCTCATAGCCACTGGCGAATAAAAAGTGGAAAGGAAGCATAAATATGAAGTTCCTCTTTATTAAGGCTATTTTCCAAGCCACTGAACAAGAGATGTGCTATAAGGAATGAAGGGAAATGGGGTAAATCATTCACATTACCTCTTACTATATTCATCTTCTGGGAGGAGCTTCCAGGTCCTCAAGCTGCAAAAGAGAAACTAGCTTAATACGCAGAAAGGCAGAGGGACCATGGTTCCGGGCCAAAAATGCCCAAGGCGACCATAGACATAACAGTATTGGAAAAGAACTAACCAATCTTCCAACCAGCGAAGATTGACAATCTTTATCTGGTACCTACGTGCAACGTCGTACTTTGGACCTAAAAAATAGTCCAGCTGCCATTATGCACACAATGGTTCGAAAGGCACCACAGGCAGAGCTATAAAACTACAAAATGTCATATTAAAAAACAGTGCAAGGACATCATGCAGGTTCGCAGGAAAACCGGATAAGGGAAGTCAGAGGAGAAGTTGGCCGCAGTGCAAACAATACCCTTAGCTAAGAAAGGCTCACCTTTATTTTTATAGCATATGAGATGAGTGGTTTCGTGGGACACCAAGATCTTGGAAAACTGCGAACCCATGAGGCGAACCATAGTCTACAAAGACAACTCCAACATCAGACATGGAAACGATCTATAATATTACGCGTAGAGAAAATAATTGAGCTATGGTATACCATAATATTCTCTCGTTCTTTGATACTGTACCCAGTTGAGCTAATTATGAGATGCTTAGCACCTGGTATCCCATTCAAACCTTTTGGGGGTTGATAAATCACCTGTACGTTAAAAGGAAGGGGAAAAAAGCCATAGAATCTCAGCTCAGATAAAGTGAAGGAATCCAAGGGTGAAAAGTGAAAACACAACAGCACTAAATAGTAAATACACACAAATGGCCAGTGTAGCCATCGTTACATCCAAGCCAGGCCATGGATTCAGTTTTGAAGCATAAGAAAAGCAGATAGCGGAGAAAAGAGCACCCACTTTAGTTGAATCGACAACCAATCCAAAATGAGAACTATGATCGACCCATAACTTCGTGACCACTGTCTTCCCATTATTTCTTGCAGAAACACAGGCCGGATCATCCTACAAACACACCCGAAGACAGGGAAATCATAAATCGGGAAAAAGAAAGAACGATTCAAGAACTACTACCACTACAGCAATTGAAACCCGGTAGAAGAACCCCAAATCCACGATTCAACATCACCTACATATATAGTATTATTGTCCACTATTAGATGAGTAAAATCCTGAGCCTCAACTCCGCCGCGACTCAAAAGCTTGGATCGAACCTGCACAATCGAACAACAAACTGAAAAACCCCAACCGCAGACCAATAGAAAATTGAAATCGCGACAAGGCAATAAGAAGGAAATGATTAACGAACTGAATGGAATTGAAACCGAAGCCAAAACCTGATCGGAAGGATCGACGCCACTGATAAGAAAGCGGATGCCGAGGAACGTCTCCAGATGAGGGCTTGCCGTGTCCTGCATTTCAAAAAATCTAACTCCTCGGTGGGAGGAAACTCTCGGAGGGAGTGTGGAACCGTTTGTGAAGGTCTTCACTTGCAGTAAATCGAAAGGGATTGGACTGAGAGCAAAGGTTAGGTTAAGGCTGGGTGCCTCTCCTTCTGTTAGAAGACTTGAAGCGGCGGGAGTGAAGAAATAGTATAAATAGTGATCGTCGAAGAATTCGAAGCCGCGGGAAATTTTACTCAAGACTATAGGATGCCTGGCGGGAGATGGGGAAACCGAAATCAAGTCCATGGAGACTCGTGGACCGTGGTAGGAGTCAATGGAGCCCAGGCCCAAAATGACACAAGTGTGCAATAATATGATCTTCATATATAGAGGTTAACTGAGGCGAAAAGGATCGGTTACTATAACAACACCCATTGTGTTGTTATTGTAACAACACTAGTCCCCAACCAATAGGAAGCTAGCATTGTGATGACTTTTTATTAGATGAGTTGACCTAGTGTAAAATCAAAGCAGGGGTATAATTGTCATTATGAAAAATATATTTAAATAAAAAAATAATAATAAATAAAAAAATATTTTTTTTATTTTCGGCCCAAAAATTTGGTCGCCGGAATTCTGCCACCGGTCGCCGGAAAATGGTCACCGGTCACCGGAATATGCTTTTTGTCGCCGGAATATGCTATTTGTGGCCGGAATATGCTTACCGGTGTCGGAATATGCTTACCGGCGTCGGAATCTAGTCATCGGGGCCGGAATATGCCTATCGGCGCCGGAATCTGCTCATTGACGGTCATCGGAGTTTGGTCAACGATTTTTGTTGACCGGTCAACGAACTTCATTGACCGGTCAACGGTCAACGATCACCGGATGTTATGGTTTGCATTGTGAGATTTATGGTTTGGTTTCTCATATTTTTGTATACCTTTTGTGGTTTGCTTTATCGTGTTTGTGGTTTGCATTGAGAAGTTTCTGGTTTGCTTTCAAAAACTTTGTGGTTTGCATTGTGAGGTTTTTGGTTTGTTTTAATATATTTGTGGTTTGCATTAGGACGTTTATGGTTTGCTTTTTTGTGGTTTGATTTACTGCGTTTGTTGTTTGCGTTAGGAGGTTTCTGGTGTGCTTTCGCAAATGTTGTGGTTTGCTTTGTGATGTTTGTGGTTTGTTTTAGGAGATTTGTGGTATGCATTAGGAGTTTTGTGGTTTGCATTAGGAGGTTTCTGGTGTGCTTTCGCAAATGTTGTGGTTTGCTTTGTGAGGTTTGTGGTTTGTTTTAGAAGATTTGTGATATGCATTAGGAGGTTTCTGGTTTGCTTTTTGTGAGTTGTTTTACCGTATTTATGGTATATATTATGAAGTTTCTGGTGTTCTTTATAAATACACCTCTAATAATGCAATTAACCCGAGCTTGAGCCCATAGAATGTTATGATTATGTTGCATTTTAGACAGATCTTAAAGTGAACTTTGTATTCCTGCCGAAGCCATGGGACGACGTCCCTTTTGTGTGTGATGCTGCTTACATCCAGATTCCATACGACTAAGGGTAGCATTGCAAGTGAAGATAGAATCTAGAAACCTTGAGCTGGAAGTTGTTGTAATGCTTTCCTTTCCCATATGAATTCTCTAGTTGCAAGCATTTTAAGTCATTAATCTTTTGTGTGCTTCCCTGTCTAGGATTGGATGTGAACAAAGAAGTTAAAAAGCCACCATTGGTGTGTTAACCAGAGTGATACTTATGCACTGGGGAATGTAGAACCAGAGTTAAAACGAAGCGAATACTAAGAAGAAGAAGCACAAGGGAAAACATGACCAGCCGAAGTCATGGGACGACGACCCCAACATCGACCATTGGAAGGTGGAGAAGTTCGACCCTTCGTGGAACGAAAGTGGCATGCTTGAAGTTAGCGAGTTCGCCACCCTCTTTCCTTCTTAGAGAGGCCTGTTCATTGTTTTCTGCTCGTTGGAAAGCTTCTGATGGGAGACGAAATCGAATCAACAAGAGGAGATCTGATGATAAGCGCGCCTTCGATGGATTGGCGTCGGCGTCGGCGTCGGAAGGAGGAGAAACGACTTGGATGGTGGGGATCGAGGGGTGGCGGAGAAGATTGCTTGGTCGAAGTTCGGATCAGCGCGGTGGTAGCAGACGAAGAGGACGCCCGGCTGGCTCTTTCTAGGCGGCGGCGAGTGTGAATTAAGGAGACGGGGCCATCGAAACTGACGGGAAAATCGTTAGGGTTAGGGATGACAACAGGGCGAGATCGAGGCGGATAGTAGTGAATCCGTGCTCTGTCCCGGTTCATAACCCAGTGATCCGCCCTGCCCTGTGCCCCGGGACGGGTTGCCATATTCTGCTCCGTATTTGCCCCGGACGGGGCGGGTAAACCCGCTCTGACCTATATATTTTTCATAACACATATAGTAAAGCTTTAACCATCATGACTCAAGCAAAAAAACTCCAAAATCCAAATAAATTTGTGGACTGAAGTCAAATTCTGAACCACAAGAATTCCAACAAAAAAGACATCCCTTCAAAAGGTCAAACGTTCAAATGAAGCAATAAATTTCCAGAATTTAGAAAATAAAATCTGTAAGTGTTTTGTTGTTCATCCATAGGAAAAGCTTCATCTCATTTCTCCTCAGGTTCGTCAATCTCCATGTAGCTCAACCTTCACACTTCCAAGTCTTTCTCTAGGCTTGAGAATATTAATCTCCACTTTTCTAACTCTTAGTAAAGTTGACTTGCACCTATTTGTGTACATAAACCATTAAAAATATTAGTGCCATCACTAATAGAAAATAACTGATGTCACAAACTGACAAAAGCCGGAATAAAACACTCCACCAGAGGAGACTGGAGAGTTCAAAGTAGATATTATCTGAATCTAAAGGAAATCGCCCAGAACCACATAGATATGCCACAACCAACTAAACACTATTACCATAACCAACCAACCATACTTCACCAATACAAAACAACCAAACAGTAAACACTCTGTTGCAATTGTATAAATGTAAAAAAAAAATCCAACCAAATAGTAATCACTCTACTGCAAATAGAAAAAGCAAATGACATAGAATCAATACCTCAGACTCATCCTCTATGTCAACATCAGAATCCTCGTGTACTGTACCAAGTGCGTAATTCTGTATAGTGGAACCAGTTACATTCAAATATAAACAAGTTAGAACTCATAGCTTTTTTGTATATGCAGAAAACATTTGGAATTAGGATTTTGATTACCTCGCAGCCAATTTTGAGCACACATCAAGCCTTCTATAGTATCTGGATGTACCCTACTTATATGAGAAGAAATCACCCTCCCACTAGTACTAAAGGCAGACTCCGAGGCCACAGTAGAGACCGAAATAGCCAAAATATCCTTTGCAACCTTGTGTAGTATATAATATTTACTTCTATTGGACTTCCACCAACCCAGAACATCAAAATCAGGAGTGTCGGGTATAATTCCATCTTCCAAATAAGAATCCAGCTCTGACCTAGTAGGCTTTCTTTTCCTTGTAGAAGCATATAGAGCAAACTTGCTTGTTGATTCCCTCTCACTTGTGGCAGCTACTGAATAGTTCATTTAGACTCCATTATTTACTTTTTCTTGCTCTCTTTCCTTCTCATCATAATCTTCATCTAGCTTACGACATATACTAAGAAGCTTCTCCATCTGGCTCTCACCTTCCTCACCATATATCTAAGGAAAGTAGCAATCCATTACATCAATTTTATAACTTGGATCAAGTATACTTGCTACCCCCATCAAAGCATGCACCTCAGACCAATAATTGTCGAACTTTTCTAACAGATTTATCGCCATAATTTCAATGGTTTCGATTCCACAACTACACCACTGACCCAAAGCAATCTTAATCTCACAAACTACTTCAAAACATATGTTGGCAGTTGGATATTTTGTGCCAGAAAACAGTTTAGTGGCACTATGGAACTTCTTCAGCCTATCACAAATCTCTGCTGTCAACTTCCAATCACACTCAGTAGGCAAGCATTTATAGTTCGACTATCTATTTCTTAACCGATTAAAAACTTCTTTATATCCCAAAGCAGTATTTAGCATCAAATAGGTTGAATTCCATCTAGTTTCACAGTCAAGTATAAGCTTCTTACCCCCTTGATTACGAATCACGCGTGCAGTCTGGTGGGTAGTCTCCTCGAACTTTTCCCATCTCTTTGGTGTCGCCAACCAGAAATGAACACTCTCCCTGATTCTATCTATGCCATCTCCAATAACTCTAAGACCTTCTTTTACAATAAGGTTCAATATATGTGCACAACACCGCACATAAATCATACTTCCAATGTCCAAGAGAAACGTTAAAGGAAGCTTCGCCATTCTAAATGAGCCATACCCGGGAAACATCCATATACCCAACCTTCCGCAGTACAATGGCACCACCGACCCAGAAGATCATCTTAGTTCCTTTGAGATTTTGATGCCGCTTATTGGTGCCTCTGATGCCACCATGTGTAAAATATTTCCCGCCACTCTTGGAGGAGACGCTCGTTGATGGTACTCTCACCTTCGCAATGGTATCATTAACAACTTCACCGAATTTTTACACTATTTCGGTGGAAGTTTATGCCCAAAAGCGACAAGCAGTGAGCATTAATTAGCTCATGAATACCAAGCAACGAGAGGGTGAGTCTTTAAAATCCTATTATGCTAGGTACAACACCTTGGCTATAGGCGTCACTTCCCTCTCTGTTGAAGTAATTGTCAACACGCTGACACGAGGAACAACAAATAGTCTTCTCTGGGCTTCCCTCATCAAGAAACCTCCTCGGAGTATGCTTGAGCTACAAGAGCGGGTCATGAAGTACATCGGTCTAGAAGAAGCTTTACAAGATTCATCCTACCTTGTGCCAAAGCGTAGGAGGGATTCGCCTTCGCCAAATCGAGAAACTTTACAACGCCCCCGCCCAACTTTGGATAACATGCCCAAAGCTCAAAAAGATGACCACGGAAGGGATGTGCCATTCAATTCAGGCCAAAATTTTACCCCACTCAACAATCCATGGAGGACTGTTCTCCAGGTCATTCAAGATAATAAGATTCTGGTGGCATGGCCACCTCGGGGTTGCATAAAACCAAGAAAAGGAAAGAACCAATTTTGTGACTTTCATTGGGGATACGGGCATGACACCGAGGAATGCAAAAAGTTGGGAAGATCCACCGAGGGACTGATTCAAAATGGGCAACTTAAGTAGTTCATCCAAAGCTCCAAAGGCTCAATCCAACAATCTTCGTCATCGGACAAA